TGGGGCCACCCCATCGAGGCCCAGTCCCTCCCGCTTGCGCTGATCACATAGCTCGTGCTCTCTAGAGAGGGCGTGTACGATGTGTCATGTACGCCAGGGCTGGAAGGGGCATGCACGGGTTAGACGCGAGCAAAGCCCACCGAGACCGCCCCCAGCACACAATTGTGTATTAGCTGGCCCGACTCACATCCGTGACCTTGATACTTTAGCACCCACACTGCTCACCTCCCCCCAACAACTATTTCAAATCTGCGTGGTCCTACAGCATGCTATTTCCTGCTTTTCCCCTCCTCCTCTCCAGGCCCTGTTTTCCAATGAACTTCTCCTTCTCTGAGAACCTGCAGGGGTTTTCCCCTGAATTACCCACAGCGAAGACTTGCACCCGCCCCCATACCTCCACACGGAAAATTTGCTGGGCCCTGGCAGAAATGATCACGCTGTATTGGATTCTGTTTCTTTTAACTGTCTCCTCACCCATCTTTCATTTCCTTGGTTCCTCGGTCACCATGATGATCTTGGTGTCCAGTGAAATATTTGTATCAATACAGCCTCTCGATATATTCTTCAGGCGTGCCAAACGACTGTGACGCCGACGGCGACCCGAGGGGTGCAATTGTGCAGATGCTTGACCTCCCGGTTCACCTGCTTACACGTCAATTTCTCACGCAGCTGGTGTGGCTCAGTGGGCTGAGCGCCGGCCCGCAAACCAAAAGGTCGCTGGTTCGATTCCCGGTCAGGGCACATGCCTGGGTTGCAGGCCAATTGATGTATCTCTCACACAACAATGTTCCTCTCTCTTTCTTTCTCCCTCCTTTCCCCTCTCTCTATAAGTAAATAAATAAAATCTTTTTTAAAATGTCGATTTCTCTGCTGGGTTTGACATGATCCTGTCCCAGGCCAGCCTCTGTGCCCTCCCTTGAGGGGCGAGGCTTTATCATCCTCCCGCCCCGCCACCTCCTTCCCCCGTGCAACAGCTCTGCTCCCGGCGGGGCTGCCGTCTCACGGCCGTGCAGCTGAACACCAACTGACCGCGCCCGACCACACGCTGAGACGACTGTGATCACAGTTTTTAAAACTCTGCCTTCACCCCAAACAGTCACCCACGGAAGTCTTCCTGTGTTTCCCTCTTCCTCCCCGGGGTTTTTACCTCACTGCAAATTTTAAAGCACGTCTTACCTGAAGGGGAATTTTGCCAAACTGCCGAAGGCAGGAGAAACAAGCGGAAGACTGAGAAACTGGCCCTGCTGACAGCCACCCAAGGACAGACGACAGTTAACCAGCTTTGCTTCCATGGCCCGACGGGAAATTTACTGCTTTAAAAATATCCTGGAGCCCTGGCTGGCATAGCTCAGTGGATTGAGCGCGGGCTGAGAACCAAAGCATTGCAGGTTCGATTCCCAGTCAGGGCACATGCCTGGGTTGCAGGCCACGGCCCACAGCAACCACACATTCATGTTTCTCTCTCTCTCTCTTTCTCCCTCCCTTCCCTCTCTAAAAATACATAAATAAAATCTTTAAAAATATATCCTGGAACAGCTGATTTATGTGTACACTTGACTGGGTCACACACTGCCCAGACGGTCGGTCCGACGTTATCCTGGGGGGTCGGTGAGGGCGTTTCTGGGTGACGTCAGCGCCTGCGTGGGTAGCTGTGATGCTAAGAGTGAACAGGTGGCCTGTGCGGCGTGGTGTGGGCCTCAGTCAGCCCACGGAAGGGCTGAGTGGGAAAGGATTCTTCCTCCCTGCCTGCCTGTGGCTTCCAGCGGGGACACCGGTCTTCTCCTGCCTTTGAACCTGGAACTGGACTAAAAATGACACCAGCAGAGTGTTATCTCTGGCTTGCTGACTGCACATCTTGAGAATTAGGCTTCATAGTGAATGAGCCAGTTCCTTATAATAAATCTCTTTTTCTCTCTCGCTGTACGCACTCATTCTGCTCCTCGCGAAGACCCTGACTCTCACACGCCGTAACTGCCTTGCTTCCCCCCCGGTACTCGGTTACTGCGGAGCACAACCCTGTTGGCTGTGCAGTGTGCCCCACGTGGTTAAAGCCGATGTGTCCTGAGTTCTCCTTTGTCCTGATGGAGGGAAAACGAAATGTAGAGAAAACGAATCCTGTCACCCTGAAATGGACACTTGCTATTTTCTCATAATCTTACTGCTGTGTCCACCGAACTCCTTTTCCGCTCCGAGAACTCAGATTCCCATCTGCAGCTTTCCCCAGGCCTGGGAGACGTCCCCCAGACCCCTCTGCTGGCGGCCTTGCACTGCTCAGCTCAGAGCAGAAGAGAAATGAGCCGGCCCACGACCCAGCGCCACCACCCTGGCCTTCCCATACCCCCAGGCCTGCCCACCCCCCACCCTGGTGTCCACAGATCCGGGCTCTGGGGGCCAGCCCGCCCCCTGCCAGCACTGGGCTCCGTCCCTCCAGGTCTTCCAAAGGACCATACGCTGCTGCAACAGTCTCCCTGGCCTTTCTCCAAAGAAAAGTTAACACTACAGTGAAACTGCCGTCAGCATGCCCCCGGGCCTGCTTTGCTTCCTAACCTCCTATCCGCCAGGTGGTGCCTCCAGTCCCTGCCGCCAGCCACCTCTCCCCGTGCCCTCCAGTTGGATTCAGGCTTCTGTCTCCAACACCCGAACTCGCTCCTGCTCTCCCGGTCAGCCGTGGACCGCCCGCTGTCTCAGCAGCAGCCATCACGGCGGCTGGACGTGATGGCCGCAGAGTCTTCCTCAGGAGTCTTCCCCTCCGTGTCCCCGCTGCTGCTGGCTCTTCTCCCACCACCTTGGGGCCTTGGCCGCTTTCCCTGTGTTTCCTTCTCCCCTCCTTCCCTCCCTTCCCCCTGAACCGCTGCAGCCGCAGGGCCGTCTGCACTCCACAGCCCTGTTTTTGTTCCGGCCCCGAGAAGCGGCACCCGCCCGGTGCACTGCAGAGCCCAGCCCTGGAGGGGCAGCTGGGCAGTGGATGCTGTAAACCAGTCTACTGGCAGGGCCCCAGGCCGGGAGATGGGGGGGCTATTGCCTAAACCTGGACCTCTCTGATGGCTTTTGATCAAGGGGCTCTAAAGACAAAGATTGAGAGTTAGGGGTCGCAGGTCATGGGCCAAGCTGCTTGGGGGCTCCTATGCAAGCCTCAGTGGTTTTCTGCAGTCTGATTAATGCCCGCCCCTGACCTCCTCCTGTCTGCAGCCTTCGTGACTGTGGTCGCGTGATCTGACCAGGAAGAAGTGACGTTATCTTTAAAGCAAAAGGCAGACACTAAACACCTCGTGACCACTTGTATTGTTTAGGCTATCCTCTTTTCGCCGACCTCTCCACACTTTTCTATTGTTCCAAGCCAAGGGAGCTTTTACATACTTTTCCTGGGGCTTGTTTCACAGACAGGCCTCCGGGACATGACTAACACACTTTCCTAATCTTTGACTCTAAGCTGCAGGGCAGCCAGAGCAACAGAAACATTGAACGGAAGCCTGGATCTCCCTCTAGACTCTGCGATCTAATGCCTAAACACGGCACCGTTGGAGGTCGGTTTCCTGTCCGTCTCCGTCTTCTGCCTGGGTGGTCTTGCGCAGCCCGTGGCCTCCACTGAGCACCACATGTATCATGCGTGAACCTGTGTGACTTCTACGCTACCTTCTCTACTTCACACTCTCTTGGGTTCTAGGCTCACGTTTTCAACTGCACAGGTAGCAGCTCCTGGGATCGCAAATGTCGAGGACACATATCTGGATTTCTCTGAGTCTTTTCTTTCTCGGGATCGCTCATGTCCATAAACGGGACCATCCTCATGCCGATTCTTGGACCAATGACTTAAGACTCTTGGATTCTTCCACCTCCCTAACGCTGCCATCTCCTCCCTAGGCCAGCGATTTTCAGCGGGTACACCACCAGAATCTGTAAAACAGGCACTACCTGACGATCCAGATAGAGCACTGACCTCTATTCCTTCACATTTTCAAATTTAAAAAGTGACAACCCAACACAACAGTAGCCATCACTGTGAATGAATCAAAGTTACGCCTGTGTTAGTCAGACTGGCAAAAACCGTGTGTACACTTCTGGCTGTGTCACAGATTTTTTAAAGATTTTATCTATTTATCTTTAGAGAGGGAAGGGAGGGAGATAGAGAGAGAGAAACATCAATGTGCGGTTGCTGGGGGCCATGGCCTGCAACCCAGGCATGTGCCCTGACTGGGAATCGAACCTGCACCGCTTTGGTTCGCAGCCCGCGCTCAATCCACTGAGCTACGCCAGCCAGGACTGTGTGTGTCACAGATTTGTAGTAATTAGTGCACTGTCCCTGCCGGTCCCCTCCCTCTCAGACCACCGTCCCCTCTTCTCCTGCTCGAAATGCAGCCGTGAGCCCAGCTTTCTGGCTTCGTTGCTGCCTTTCGGTCATCACCCCCGAGCACACGGCAGGCGGACAAGTCTGCTCAGAAATATCAGCCCCTGAAGTCTCTCCCTGCCCGAAATCCCGACTCTGAGAACGAAGCGCAGTCCCCTCCCACGGCCTGATGCCGCTGTGTCCCCGGGTCACCCTCCAGGTCCCCAGGACCTGCGGCCTTCGCTCTCCCCGCTCCGCCTGCCCTGCCTGGGGCTCGTCTCTGACCCCCGATGGATGCATGGGACTGATTCCCGGGGCGGGGCCTGAGCTCCCGCTGTGGTCCGTGCGCAGTCTGGCACCCATGTTCCCCTCGGCTGTGCACAAAACGCTCTTTATTTAATGTCGACATTATTTTGATGGGATTACATACTTCTCTGGACACACAGGGGAGGGGAGGAAAGAGGACGGATGCCCCTGAAATCTTGGTTTTCAGGGAAAAGGCGGGGAAGCGCGGGCGGGCAGAGGAGGGCCAAGGGGTGCTGTCCACACTCTTCAGTGCGGTCTCTGCGGACAGAGCCAGGTCCGCCGGGCCCGGGGCTGCAGCAAGGCTGTCCCCGAGGCAGGGCCGGCGGCAGACCCGAGGCCAGTCTCCCTCCGCTGTGCAGGCGTCCCGGGTTCAAGAGCAGAGGCTCCTCTCCAGAGGCCCCGGCCGGGGCATGTAGTGGGGCAGCACCCCGTTTCTGGCCAGGGGCTTGAAGGCAGAGGGCCTGGGCTGCAGGCCCCGGGCCCCGCCGCTGCCCTCCGGGGTCTCAAACCAGAGGGGCCTGTCGAACTTCCGCCTCCCCTTCTTGCACTGGCGGAGCGCTCTCAGCACGGTCTCCTTGGTACAGGGGTCGCAGCGCTCCTCGGGGGGTGGGCTCCCGCCAGGGCGGGCCCCCTGCTCTGGGGGTGCACAGAGGCCCCCCTTGTGCTCCAGAGGCGCGATCTTGATGGTCACCGGGCTGGAGATCCGTCTTGGGGACCGGGGGCTCACCAGCCTCCACTTCGTGTAACTACTCTCCCAGGCGCAGGAAAGGTCCGCGGTGGTCCCAGGGGGCGCTGTGGCAGGAAGGCGCATCCACGCCTCCCGGACCACCCTTTGGGGCTTGGCGGGCCCCCAGTCCCGCCGCATCTGGGGGAAGGGCCGGGTGCTGATGCAGCGCCCCTTGAGGTCCCCTTCCTGGGCCCGGGCCAGGCCAGGCCACAGGTTAGGGGTCCCCTGGGCCAGGGGCTGCAGTGTGGACTGAGGTGAGCTCAGGTAGCTGCCCATCAAAGCGGTCAGCGAGGAGGGGGCTTCAGATAGGGTTTCCACTCCCAGAAGGTCCGGATGAATCCGGACTTAGCTGCAAGCGAGTCGTCCAAGGCTCAGGTGACCGTTGGCATCTGGGCGCAGTGAAAGCGCGCGCGGGCGTGGGCGCTGGAACCCTCCCCACCCAGGTCCGCGCGGTGAGGCAGGTTCCGGGCACTCGAGAGACTGCGGCGCGCGCAGCAGGAGCCTGTGCGCCCTTGGTTATCGGGAAGTCACAGCTCCTTCCCGCTGCTGGTAGCAGGAGCTTGGCTCTGGGGGGATGTGCCCCGGAGCTCACCCTCTCCTGTTCTCCTCCTCCTCCTCTCTCCATCCTTACTGCGACAGAATTCATGTACCGTGCAATTCACCTATTCAAAGTGCACAGTCCTGTGGCTCTGGTACCCCCGCAGCTGCGTGCACCCGTCCCCGGAGTCATCTGCAGACATCCGGGCACCTCAGAGAGAGCTCCCCGGCCCTGCCGCTCTGGGCTTCCCATCCGCCTCCACCCGCCCGGCCCTGAGCCACCGTTAGTCTGTCTCTCTACACAGATTTCCCATCTTCCTGTTGGACTTTCATCACCACGGCAGTAGACAGTAGGGGGTCCTTTGCAACCAGCTTCTTTCGTTAGCATAATGCTTGGAGCTCTACCCACGCTGGGCCCCACCCCATTCCTCCCTGCCGTCCAGCATTTCTCCGTGGAATGGATCTGCCACATTTTATCTGCGGCCAGGAGATGGATGATGTCTGCCCTTAGCCTGTGATGGATAATGCTGTTTTTTTCCTATACATTTTTTAACATTTTATTTTTCATGCTATTACAGTTGTCCCACATGGTTACCCCTTTGCTCCCCTCCACCCAGCCTGCCCCTCTTCTCCCATAGTGAGTCCCCCCACTGTTCTGCATGTCTGTGAGTCCTTCATACATGTTCTCTTTGAAACACTCATGTATGAGGTATTGTGTGGACACATGTTTCCATTTCTCTGTAGAGTTCCTGGGTCACATGGACACTCTGCCTAACTTTCTGAGGGCCCACCGAGCTGTTGCCCACAGCGTCTGTACTGACGTACATTCCCTCGGCAGCGCCGCCCCCGTTATTGAACTTGACATCTGCAGGGAGGAAGTGTAGTGATGCCTGCAGTTCCTAAAAATTGCAGGTATGGGTATTGCCTGAAGGCCACGCTTGCTGTTGTAAAAACTGAGCATAATTCACTTAAATACTCTTTTAAGGAAAAATAAATAACACGTTTCCATTTCAGCCAAGGGGATGTGTGTTCAACGCTTGTGGAATGGGTGGTCACATGACTTTGCGCAGCTTGCCTCTGAAGGCAACGGTGACGGTAGACCACCACTTGTATTTTAGCCGACGCCGCTGCCTTTGTGAAGGCGCCTGTCATGTTAATTCCCGTGCATTCAGACCTAGGTTCTCTTCTCTCGGAGCCTTCATGCAATGCCTCTGTTTCTTCTGGATTTACTGGCAACCCACGTACACAGCAGCGTGATCTGCATTTCCAGCTGAAAATCACCTGACGGCAGAAAGAGTGTTGATGGTGTTGGGGGGGTGTTCATAAGCTGAAAAAACAATCCTTCTCCAGAACATTTTCCCCAAAAGCACGTGCAGGAGGTACCTGCCGGGCTAGCCACTGTAGACAGCAGAGGGTGGCAGGCTCGGGAGCGAGCTAAGCACAGGCAAAAGCCTCTTTCCTGATCCGAGGAGCAGACAGGTGACTGCTAGGGACATTAAGGAGCTTAATGAGAAAGCCCCCTAAGTCTTCTGCCAGAGGGGGGCTGATGGCCGGGGAGGCAGGGGCTGTGTCAGCCCAGGGCGCTGGAGAATGAGGCTAACAACCTCTCTCTCGTGCTAATCACTTGCATCCCCTCCAGATTCCTTACTGGAGTAGTGATCCCTAGTATGTGATTTTGAAAGCAAAAAGAAACCCCTATGCTGTAATTTTCTTCTTAATAGGACATTTCTTGATAATGATGGCAATGAATCTATTGCTAAGAATCCTCTTAAGGTGGCATTATCACCGTCATCAGAGGGGACAGTTAATGCAATTGAACACAGATTTCTTAAAATGCGTTTTTTTTTTCACAGTATCAACAGTTTCCCATGTCCCATTCACAATCCAATCCGCAGGGTGTCGTTTTGGTTTGTGGTTAAATACCCCCGGAAGAACCACATTCTTTCCGCGGGTGGCCTTCTTTGGCAAATCAGCGTGTTGACTAATTAAAAGTGGTTCATAGGCACTGAACTAGCCTGTTCCTTCTCCTTCTTACACACCATGGAATAACATTGTTCTTTCGGTTAGCTGACGTTTCCAGATCAATGCAGATCAGCGGTTCCCGATTAGAGACGATTTCGCCATCCTCCACCCCCGGGAGCATTAGAGAGAACGTCTCTACTCTGGGTTGGGGAGCAGGCTGGGGTGGTTACTTATTTCTGATGGGTAGAGACCAGGGCTGCTGCCAAACACCAGACAGCATTCAAGAACCCCTCTGGCCCCGATGAGAAAACGGTCTGGACCAAAATGTCTGCACTGCAGGGATATCTCATTTTCCAGCACTGCTATCGTCATGCTATTTTTCTTGAATTGTACAAATCTCATTTAAAACAATTAGAGTCAATATATGAGTTTCGTTCTCATGACCTTTAAAAATGTATCATGAACGGCCCCACTCCAACTGGGTGCAGCATGGCGATCATTTCACGGGCTTGGGGTTCTCACGCGCAAGTGTGCAGTGGCCCAACGCCAGGAGGACAGGCTGAACACAGGATGCTGGCCAGGTCCCAACCATCTGCTCGTCTGGCGCCTCCCCAGCTGACCTCCCGGTGCCCGCCCTGGGCCACACGTCGAGAAACACGGCTATAGGCTGATTTGTGTGTGTGTCTGGTTTGGGGTCTGGGATTTGTTAGGGTTAAACTAATGTCAATGGGTGTCCAAGGGAAAGGAGACCACCAGCGGGCATCCAAGTCACCCCGAATATCATTGTCCTCATTCGGGATGGCATGTATAATTATTTGAGAAGTTGCATTTCTCAAAATGGAATGCACACTCACATCACCTGGAAATGTCAACATTCCGACTGGAATTCAGCAGGTCTGAGCTGCGGCCCCCAGGTCTGCATTGCTCACAGACCCCAAGCTGCCCAAGGACTAGCAATCTTGGTCGTAACCTGGGTGTTTGTCAGAATGCAGAACCTCAGGCACCTTCAAAAGCGTCGGCATTTGCATGGTAACACGTGGATTTTGAAGTCTGGAACGTACGGAGGTAGCTGCAGAGTTCTCGAGTCCAGCCCCCCACTAGAGTCACCTGTCGACGCCGTGCCCTGCTGTTCTCCTCTGAATGGTCTGGAGGGGGGTCCGTGGATGCTCATGCGTATCCTAAAAGCCTCCCCAGTGGCTCTCACTGTCACTGTGGTTGAGCATGACTGAGCTGGCTGGTCTCCGGCTTGCGAGCGTGGCCTGCCATGGACGCCGGCATCTCATCTGTGGACAGCATTGGTTTCGTGGATGTGCCTGACTGTGCAATGCTTCCTCCCATCATTTCCCACGTCCACCTGCCGGAAGGTCTCCCCGGTCACATTTACTCATACACAGGTCTAACCCCAGGTGAAGAAAGTGACATTTTTCTGCTCTCTTCCCATGGAATGTGACTGAATCTCAGACATGTAGGCTAATGCATATACTAACTCTATAGTACCAGACTCTAAAGCCGACACTGAGCATTAACGGCTGGCACACGTACTGAAAATAAATGCTTATTAAAAGAATGGCCCTCTCAGTTTGGGAAGGCTCTGTATTTGCTTTTCATTTATGTGCTTCGCTTCTGTATATGGACGGTTTCCCATACATACTTCTGGGACGTGTTTTAGCACACAGCTTCATGCCATTGCGTTGTTTTTCCACTGACCTCTCTTCCATAACCAATAGTTTATAAATGTATACGGAGCAGAATGTGTCTTATCTAACATTCCATTCGGATCTAATCCAAACTCTCAGGCCATAAGACAAAAAAAGAGACGACACTCTACGCTGCGCTGTTTCTTTCTGGGTATGAAAGTGGTAAGGGCAAAGGTCGTGGCTCTGGAGGGCTGCTGGATGCGGCGTCTTCCGTGACACGGGTGCTCAGCACTTATTAGACGAGAAATTCACCCCCGGGTCCTGCAAGTTAGCACTGTGATCATCTCACCGAAAAATGAGCTCAGATGACAGGGTGGGGGCTGTGACAGGGTTTGTCAGGAAAGCCGGGACCGACACGCACAGTCGAGGGAGCCGCGGCTGGTTCTGTTCCTGTAACTCTCCCAAATTCATAATTCACAGTCTCACAGCTTGCATAAGATTCGTCAGACAGAAAACAGTAATTACGAAGACATAATGAAAGGATGATTTCCAGAGAAGGCTCTTCCGTATATTGGATGTCACAGTAGGAAACGTATTTTTGTCGCTTTTAAGAAAGATGAGCACCGCAGGTACTGGCATTGTAGTGCCTGCTCTCTGGCAGCCAGAGCTTTTATTAGGATCATTTCAGACAGTCTTGGGTTCAGCTGAAATTGGGAAGCCATCCCTCCAATGCGGGAGAAATGATGCAAGTCAGGAATGATTAATCACGATAAAGCACGCACGTTTCCTGTCGACTCGGCTACTAATAGGCATTCCCACGAGTGACTCATTTGATATGAAATAAGTGAAATTAAATGAATTAAACGAACCACTCCCAGGGGTTTTGCCTTGATCACATTTAACTATTAGAATAATAGAGTCAATCTAGTGAAAAGATATGAAATGTCATAGGTTAAACGATGTCAAAATATCAAGGTTTACTAGTCCCTGGCCAATGGTGTTTTGTCATCTTCAGGATCATGATGGCAAAGATAAAGCACAGAACAAATATATTCTACAGTGTGTGGGTGTATGGCTGTGCACCATATACCACATATGCACCAAATAACTGACTGCCTGTGCAGGCACTGGCCACACTGG